CGCTGAGGTCCGCGGCCCCGCAGTGCTTGGGCCGCAGGGCGAGAATCGCCTCCGGGGCCGGCCTGGGCCTCGGCGGGGCCAGCCGGGCCAGCCCCCACTCCATCCACCTCAGGAAGTACTGCCTCTCACCCGCGGAGGGGCTGCTGATGCCCCAGACGAACTCCTGCAACCCCCAGGGGGGCGCGTGGCCGTTCTGCTGCATGCGCAGCTCCAGCAACCGATGCCGCAGCTCCGCCCGGTGCTTCTCGGGGGGCTCCGCCGCCCACTGGACCTGGCACAGCTCCCTCTCCACCTGGGCTGCCTTCCGCCACGGGTCCCCCTGCAGCCTCAGCTCGTCCCTCCGGTAGGCGTCCGCGTCTTTGATCTTGCGGGTGATCCGCTCCATGCGGTCCTTTGCGCGCTGACACTCCTCGCAGTCCTCGTCCACCCGCAGCCCCAGCTTGCGGGCCGCGCCCGCCATGTCCTCCACCGACAGCCTCCGGCAGGGCGACCGCGTCACGTGCGCCACGATGGCGCGCACCCTGCGCACGAAGCCCGCGCCGTCCGTGCTGCTGACCTTGACCAGCACGTGCGAGTGGTCCATCCTCAGCACGGGAATCAGCCTGTTCAGAAAGCGCAGGTTCGTGTTCCGCTTGCCCCGGTAGGGGCTCAGGATGAAGTAGTATTTCGTGGCCGAGCCCTTGACGGAGGACAGCAGTTTGTACTCCTTCTTGCTGATGTTGTCCGTCAGGATGAACACGGCCGAGGAGATCTCCGTCAGGAGCTTGAACTGCAGCCAGTGAGACCCAATGTCCCCTCGCAGGTTCAGAAAGGCCACCGGCTCCGGGAAGATGTCCACGTCCTCCCTGCCGCTGGGGAGAAACCAGGAAATTTCCACCAGCCCGTCTGCAATCTCCCGGGGGTTGGTGCCCAAGTTCAGATCCCGGTGCCAGAAGCAGTCCCGCTGCCGGTGGCCGGGGCTCAGCACGGCGTTGAGCAGCTGCGACTTGGAGTTGGTGCTCACCTCCATGCGCACGAAGGCGAAGGCCGGCGCCCGGGCCAGGACCACGCTGTCCTCTCGGAAGCTGCCCGCCGCCCTGGGGGGCTGCGGCCAGCAAGTCCGCACCGTGCCCCGCAGGGCCCACAGCAGAAACACGTGGTCGTGGTTTTCCGAGTCGGGCAACACCAGCGGGAGTGCAAACTGGCAGAGGGCCATTTTTAACACGATCTCTTGCTGCAGGAAGCTGTCGGAGGAATGCAGAAGGGCGCAGAGGAGGTCCAAGGGGTTCACGGGCGTGTCGGGCGTGGGCAGCTCGGAGAAGGAGTAGATGTCGGCAGAGATGTCGTCAGCCGTGTCCCAGTACACGATCTCCTCCTCCATCTGGCTCTCCTTCTCCGCAGGCCTGGTGTCCGGGGGCACGTCCAGCACCATGGTGGTGCTCCTGGCCTCGGTGTTGAGGGCCTGCAGCTTCCTGAGGAAGCTCCAGGGCAGGTCTTTGGGGGCCTGGGGGGCCCAGTTCTTCATGCTGTCACTGCTGATCTGCAAGGAGTCCTGGAGGCTGAGTTTCTGCCCCTGGTACGTCTCTAGTCCCAGCAGTGCCAGCATTTCCTGCAGTCTGCTCCTCTCCACTGTGGAGGGAAAGGAAGACATAAGTGGTCACCGTGCATGTCAGGGACCCAGGTGACAGGTGGGGAGGGAGGGCCCAGCAAGGTGGGGAGGAGATGGCCTCCTTCAGAGCACAATGCAGGCACTCCTAGGCCACCTGAGGCCAAGGCAGAGGTGACATCACCCACACCAGATCCAAGTGCAGCCAGGTCCGCACCCTAGCTGGGGGTGCAGGTCCCACTCTCTGCCCATGCCCTGACTCCCTCCAAGACACCCCTGTGCATCTGCCCCACCCTCTGGGCCCCAAGGTGGAGCCGCGCACACGGACACCAAGGATTTCCTACAGGGGTGCCCTCACTGATTCGCTGTGACCTTCTTGTTCATGTGGTTTCCTCTTTGCAAACAAGTTGGAAACTTTGTAAAGGAAACAGGGAGTTTGTTCCTAGGTGTGGAGTGACAGGAACCACAGATAAATAACATTTTGCAAACCTGAAGCCAATGATACGGTTTTGAATTTTCAGTGTATTAAAAAATATTTGGTAGAGATGATCGTTAAGTCTGTGACCGTTCTGACTTTCAACCGTAACACCCGATACAGTATGAATTCTTACACGCACCAGATGCTCAGAACAGCAGTGCCACCTGCAACGGTTCCATCCAGCACCCCTGCTCTTGGCCGCGGCATCTTACCAATTTTCATAGCATATGTATAATTTACTACATATAGTGAATAGCCTTTAAATACTAAATATATTCACAAAATAAATAAATACAAATCCTGCTGAGCTCCAGGACTCTCTGCATTCCTTTCTCAAAAGAGGAACGCCACACCCATCATTCTACCTTAGGTCCTGATGGAAACCACAGGAGGGAGCATAGATGTCAGCCGCCTTTTTTCCCAGGAGGTAATATGATGGGCTCAGGACCCCTCCTGGGTGAACAGCGGGACTCAAGGCACTGGAGAAGGGGTGCCTCATTCTCCTGTGGGGGTCCACTTTCCGCCTAACGTCTGTCTGCAGAAGCTCCACCCTCCACGGGGGCTCAGGAGCGCTACTAGCAGTGTGGCTGTGCCACCGCCCCAGATTGCTCGGGGACTGGCAAATGTGATGCAGAAACACTAGAACTGCGCGGGGAGTTGAAATCCATCACAGAATTAACTCAGGTTTCTGAGTGCTACCCGACAGGGACCAGGGATGTTGTCTTCCTCATCCAGACATAGAACAACTGTTTTGAAGTAGGGTGGCGGTTAAGTGCGACAAGGAAAATACAGGGCAAACGAATCTATTTATACATGCACTTCTGCCCAGTCCATGACCCTTGGCGGATCTATAAATGAAACACGGGGTCAGACAGATGGTTCCCAAACTTGGCCGTGCTTTAGAATCACTTTGGGAACTTGTATAAGATAAGATTTCTGGGCTTTGCCTCCAAAGATGCAAACTCACTGTGTTACTCTATAGGGTAAACAGCAACCCAGAGTTGCTTCTCAGGTAATATTATTAACGGCACATAAAATGGTCCAGTGCTGGTCCTGATGCGGTCAGGCGCTGGAACCATCAGCCCAGAGGATGTGCTCCGTCAACAGGGCAGGAAGTGAGGGCAGAGGCAGGAAACAGACGGAAGAAACATACCTGTTGGGAAGTCACTGTCCTGAGCCTCGTTTGTACCGTCTAAAAAAAAGCAAAGGAAAATGAAGTGTCAATCAAATCAGGGGGCCTGAAATCAATTGGAGCTAACAAACTAACTTCAGCTAAACTCAGAACCCTCTCTCTTTCTCGGTGACGTAGCAGTTTCCCCCAATCGTTCACAACACAAAAGCCCTGTCATTTTTCCCATTCCCCAGCTCTTCCCCCAATCCAATCTGCTGCCATAATGAAGTCGTCTCTTACCTCCATAATGAAACTCGCAATCATCTCCTTCCATTTCTCTCCATTCCAATCTAGGAAGGAAAAAGAAAAAAAAAACCAATAACATCACTAGTTTATCAGCAAGTTACGGAACCTACTT